CACACGGACATGGGTAAAAGCATATATTTTCTATATAAATATGCTTTCGCTCCTCGGGGGGGGGGGGGGGGGATAGGTAAACATATTCCTGAGGGGGCGGTGCCCACTACTGAAGAGATGCCTAAAAGATCAACCAAAAAATCCCCTGGACTACTCTACTGCCCTATTGTCAAAAAAAAAACAACCCACTATGTAATTACCAAAAACGATTGGTCAGTATATTATAACGCGTACACATAGGTTTATTTACTTACTTAGAAGCCATTTTCATATTTTGACAATGTGGCCTAATGTTTTAAATGATTTAAAAAAAAAACAGCTTCATATTTTAAGGAGAAATATAAACAAATACATAGGCAAATAGGGCCTCATGCACAACAGCTCTACCACCCTCTAAAACCTGCCACTGATTTAACACATACACAACTAGTCCCCCCCCCCCCCTCCTACTCCTTCAGAACCCAAGCAAATGGTAATGTCTGTGGAAGCGTGTTGGGGGTCAAGGTCATATGAATGTTTAAAGCTAGTTTTTAAAGGGAAGTAACCAGAGTGGCAGGTGAGTGATAACTCACAGGATGGGATGGTGAGGGTGGGGGGGATATGAGGGTGGGGGGGTCTGGGCAGTGGGAGAGAGGGGAATATGAGGGTGGGGGGTCTGGGCGGTGGGGGAGGGAGAATATGAGGGTGGGGATCTGGACGGTGGAAGGTTATTAGATAAATACATTATTAAACACATCAGCAACAGAAAGAACAATGGACGGCCAAAGTAACAATGGACGGCTAAAGTAATGGACGGTAACTAGAATGTTGAAACAGTGGACGGCCTAGTTAGTAGCACTCTAGAAACTATAGGCCCTATATCTTAATTAAAAAGTGGCTGGGAATGCACGAGTTTGCCTTTTTTTTCCCCAACTAAGATGAAGCTTTAATTACTTTAATGTCATAAGAGTACTGTCTATAAATAGATTCTGACATCATGTAAAAGTGCTATTTGTGAATACACTCTACCAACAAGCAAATGGCTGTCTATAAATAGATTCTACCTTCTTTTTCTTCTGCGTTCTTAATTTAGTTTATGGTGGAGGATTTAAACAACCAATATGTAAAAGAGCTATTCGTGAATAGATTATGTCATCATTTACAAGTAATGTCTGTTGATAGATTCCGACTATATGTAAAAGTACTGTATGTTAGTAGGTTCTAACGATATATACAGTCTGACAGATTCTAATATAAAAAACTGCTATATAACAGCAGATTCTAATATCTAAAACTGTTGTGTATCACCAGTTTCTAATATCTAAAACTGCTGTGTATTACCAGATTCTAATATCTAAAACTGCTTCATACCAGCAGATTCTAATAACTGACGACCGACGACAGCACGTAATTACTAGCCCCCCCCCCCCCCCCCTCCCGATTAGATATTTATAGAATTTTAAAATAGCCATTATTTTTATAGACGCCGTAGAGTTCAAAAATGACGATCAGACAAGCCCCGCCCCCATTAGAGACTTCGATTGCTGGCTCACCTGAATTAGCCAGGTAAGACTAGAGTTTTAAAATCACTAATTCATTAGGGTAAAATCTTAATAAGCCTGCAGACTCTGGACACACAAACCAGCACTTTAAATACGTGTAATGAGTATGTGCACATATACCCTAGACATAGACAAAGTAGTTAAAAGTAATAGTAACCAATATGAGAAAATATACATTGGATATAGTCAATATAGTTAAACCACGTGTAAACAATATGTGCACATATACCCTGGATATAGACAAAGTAGTTAAAGTACGTTTAGCCCATATACCCTGGATAAAGGCAAAATAGTTTAGATACGTTTAGCCTATATTAGCAGATATACTCTGAACATAGACAAGCTAGTTAAAATAGGTGTAACCAATATAAGCACATATACCCTGGACATTGGCACAGTAGTTAAAAATAATAGTATTTACTATGAGCATAGATTCGGGACACAGAGACCAAATTACCTTTAACCAACATAAGCACATAGACTCTAGACCTAGACAAGGTAGTTAAAATACGTGTAAAACCATAACAGCAAACAGACTTTAGCCACATAGACAAGCTAGTTAAATTACGTGTAACCAATATAAGCACATACACTTTATACAATAATAACATAAGTTTGAATACGTTTAATCAATATGACTTTAGACACAGTTAAGCTAGTTTAGAAACCTCTCAACATTATGAGCACATACACTTTATACAAGGATAACTAAACTCGTTTAAATACGTTTAGTAGTATGAGTACATAGGCTTTAGACACAGATGAATTAGTTAAGATACATCAACAATATATACTTTATACAATAATAAACTAATCTAATTACGCGTAACCAATAAAATCAAATACACTTTAACTAAACTAGTTTAAATACGTTTAACCAATATCTACACATAATCATTATACATGATAAACTAGTTTAAATTCATGTAATCAATATGTGCTCATAGACTTTATACAAGTTAAAATTCTTCTAACATAGACACTGCACAGTGAAGTATTCACGTGCTATACAACAGCGAGCTTACTCATCACATAGTTTTACAATCTTCCCATGTGTGTGTTTACAGGTAACCCGCATGTGACCCAGTAATTCCCCGCATGCTTAGCTTAAATTTTTTTCCCTTTACATACACGAACAAAGCTGAACGTCAGTTTTAGATGGCTTTCATTATAACATTGAAATAACAGCTTGGTATTTTTTATACATGGGACGGAGTGGGTTAGCGGTAGAGCTGGGTATAGTGATGACCACATTGTTCCCTTGTATGCCGAGGTCATTGAAACAGATGAAGTCTACTTCATCTGCCCAGTCTACTTCATCTGCCCCATGTGTCTTCGGTACAAACGGAAAAAGAGGGTTGTGATTTTCTATACAAGACATGATATAAACTACTTATAAAAACACTTTATAACTAAAATAGCCTTGCTAAATGTTACATATGGGACGGCGTGGCCTATCGGTGGAGCTCTAGACTGCTAACCCGATAGTTTCGAGTTAGAATCCGGATTTAAGTTAGTGAAACGTCACTGAGTACACCCAGTTCTGAAGGGTACCTAACTCACGTTAGGAAAAGTAAAGGCTACTGGGTATAGTGCTGACCACATTATCCTTTTATATGCCGAGGTCAAGAAACATGTGAACTCCACTTCATCTGCCCAATGGATCTTTAGGTCGTTAGAGAAATCTTTACTTTCTCCACTAAATGTTACATAAAATATGTTTACAATAATACAACCATGGAGGTTCTTCAATTAGAAAAATAGGAATGGTGTTTATCAACTTCAATTTTCTTTTTTTTTTTCTTTCCAAAGTGTGCTTTAATTAGTTTAACTTAATTACCCTTTACGTTGATAAACACTGGGGGAATTGGTAAATATTAGGGTCTATCTGACCTCACGAAAAGGTAAGCCATGTGTCTTTTTTTTCTCCCGAGGATGGGTGGGTTGGGGGGGGGGGAGAGAGAGGGGATCACTTGAAATTTTCCGAGGGGGTAGGCGCACATAAATTTCCGGGGGCGGACGCTGGTTAAAGTACATAATATTCTTTAATTGTATTGTATATTTTTCTCATTTTGCCCCCCCACCCCCCCCCCCGGCTAGACGTCCTTATATACCCAGACATCATGTTCTCTGTGTAGTGGTAGATTTTAAATAATGTAGATCTGAGCTTTATTTTTGTTTTATATATTTTTAATTGTTGAAACATGGGCTTAAATCATAGGAGGGTAACACCAAGGCAAAAATTTGCAAAATTTTCAGAAGAAAAAATTCTTTATTAATTAAAGTTACATAGTCTTTTAGGTACATATCGACAATTATTTCATGTGAGTTGGAGTGACACCATGACGAAAGCGTGCTAACTTCAGAGAAAACAATCCTACATCAAACTGTATTATTAACAGATTAAAGATAAACTTCGTTACTATAAGTCTGCAGTGGTTAAAGCTTATAAACATACATGTACGCGTATGTGGCAAATATTTAAATTACAGGCCTATTTAGGCAGATACACACACACACATTATATATATATATATATATATATATATATATTATATATATATATATATATATATATATATATATATATATATACATATTCTTTGTTTCTTGGGGGGGGGGGATGACACCACAAAGTGCAGCACCGGGTGACACCCGAACTAGCGACGCCAATGGCTTAAATAAATATGCGGTGATGGTGACCTCACTGAAACAGTATAAATGACTGGGCATAGGGCTCACTACAGGATCGCCTGTCATTCCGAGGTCTACTCTACTTCTTCTGCCTTACGGAACTTCTTGTCTTAACATAGATCTTTATTTTTAGAAAAATGGATTTTAAAAAGCCCACAGGATAAAGCTTGGCTATTACAATAATATGTTTAGTTTAACTGGACACACAGAAGCGACAAACACATTTTTTAATCCGCTTAAAATCGGCTTAAACTAAGCCAAAAGATTGGGTGTTTTCTTGTTTGTTACAAGCTTATCATTAAAAATGAAAACGAAACAAAATTTCTATTTAATTGAATGACAAGACTTGCTAACTTATCTTTGGTTTTTTTTTAAGCCTAGCTATAGACAGCTCTTAAGACAAATAAAGAATTTAAAAAGACAACAGAGAGCCACGTATCATTTATGTTTGAAACCTGTGGGGGAATTTTTATACTAGTGTCCGATAATAGAATCTTCTCCAACAAGGTGTAAGGTTAACTAAAATACACCTAAGGCTTACTAATGTCAATGCTAACCCTATTCCTAACCCCAACCCCAATCCTAGTCTTACTATACGCCTAACTATAATTTCTAATTATAAAATGAGTAGAGATTACTACACTACTCTCTAGATCTATACTGAACACACCTAGATCTATTTTTGGGAGTCTATTATCGGACTTCGATATCTAAAACATCCAAACCTGCTATTGTAAAATGCAAATAATCAAAACATAAACCTACCTTCGATTAGAAATAATTACACACTTTCCTAAATCCCCTTAATCCAGTCCGGTGAAGCGAACGTAACGACAAAAATAAACGAACACTAAAATCCCACGTGAAAATCACCTCAATGTTTTAGTTAGGTAGCGAGGTAAGGGGCGAGAACTGTGAACGCACGGGTTTGTTGTTGTTGAAGAGTTCACTAGTCTGAGAAGTCCATTGTAGCGCACAGCTTGGGGTTGTCTGAGGCTTAGAAGAAGTAAGGGGGAAAAATTTAACCAACACAACAGGGTTATTTTTATGGCTTTTTGTTTGTATCCCTCATTACTGGGGATAAAATTTTGTGGGGATTCTTTAAAGAAGTGTGTGGGAGGTTGGGGGAATGTGTGTTTGTGAGGAGAAACGAGGGAGGGAGGTCACTTGCTCAATGTTGATTGGTTGGAAGATGAAGGCTCGCGCACTGCACGTTAGTTGCACGAGGCAGTGAGGGTAAACAAGAAATAAATTGTTTCTAGTTGAGGGGGTGAGCTGAGGGGGGGGGGGGTTGAAATTTAAAATAAGTGGATGTGTTCTACAATATATTTTCCTCTAAATTGTTTACTTTTTATTGCGTTTTTAAATTTAAAGATAAAGCGTGTGATCATATGGAAAAAAAAACTTACAATGTTGTAAATGATTTCACAGACTGGAGTCAAGGGTCGACACATTGTGACGAAGTGTGACAGGAGCCATTGTATTCGTGACAATGTGAGATAGGGGCCGTCACATTCGTGATGGACTGTGATCAAGGCCGTCACGTTCGTGAAGAAGTGTGATAGAGAACGTCACATTGGTGACGATGTGTGATAGAGGCAGTCACGTTCGTGACGATACGTGATGGGGCCATCAAAATAGTGATGATGTATGCCTTTGAGCTTAATATTAAAATATTGCATACCGTTACTTATTTTAAAACCAAAATTTTATCGCTGACACTTTAAGTATTTTGAGTCACTATTTTAATATCAAGTTTGTAAATCTGGAGCGGTCACTTCGCCATTCTAATACTTCGTTAACCCATATGTATATATACATGCACATATGTTTATATATATGTATATACATATACATATATATATATATATATATATATATATATATATATATACATGTATATGTATATGTATACACACACACATATATATATATATATATATATATATATATATATATATATATATATATCACATGAGTTAATAATTTCAATGTTTGCCAGGAGAGTGGGAATGTTGCGAGTTGCTTTGTCTACTTTGTATGAGTAGAGGTGGGAAGGTGAGGAAGTGGGGGAATGACGTCATGCAGGCTACACCTTTGCTGACTATCATTTGTTAACTCTTTGTTTGTTGAAGCTCACCCTATATCTCTTATACAGTCATCCACTCCACGATTTATACAGCGTCGTCCACTCCATTTCAAGCCCCACCCCCACCACCCCATGTACGCACCGGGTATTTACTCTCACACCTCACACCAACACCACACTTACCAGTACATGACTCACGATAACTCACCTCTACCACACTATCTCCCACACATAATACACATAACACACCCGCAACTCGCTATGATAAGCTATCCGTTACCCACTCCCATAACAACTCCACGGCTATCTAACATCTATTTAGACATACGATGCTAGTTTCAAAGAATCTTGTTTACGAATTTGATACAACGCCATCACGTGCTTATAGTTTATTTATACCACATTCTCATTTCTGTCTCAGAAAGAACAAAAAGAAATTCGCAGTTTATGTATTTTTTATAACCAGGATAATGTTAACTTTTTATTTTAAAATGTGGCTGCTGATATTGATTCTATACTTAAAAATACGTTGAAAGGGTTCGTGGGTTTTTATTTTAACACTATAGAAAAGGGAATGGTCAGTTTTGTGTTAATGTGTTATTTGAGAAACTCAAAAATTTAAATTTCATATTTAAGTTACATTTTAAGGTTATTTTAAGGGAGGGGTGAAAATTAGTTATTTTATCTCTGGGGGATTTTGTGTGTGTGTGTGTGCTTGTTGTAGAGAGATGAGAATAAAATAGCATTATTAACAGGGATTATATAAATATTCCCTAAACGTATTGCAACATTATCGATGGTTTCAAGAAGAGAAAATTCGTCATTTCATTATTTATAGATCAACTAAAGAAATATATTTCACAATAAGTTGGATTAGGTGGTGCTGTCTTCATACACCTGTTGTCTGGACTTGCTGACATCTTTCGATGAGAAAAGTGACAATGATATTTGTGTTGTTCATAGCACGATAAATGTAAACTACACCATCAGGGGGATGTTTGTTACGGCATTAATTAATGCTTTCTTAGTGTTGATAGAATCCAGTGTTATGTTGTGGGTATAGGTGCGCTGTTGTCAATTGTTGGTTAACAATGGAGAATTAGTGATTTCATTGTGTTTGTAGGATTCAGAATGTTATGTCCCTGGTTATGGCCCTTGGGGGTGTTGTGGGTTGGTGCAACACTTGTGAATTACGTCCCTGTTGTTTATCTTTGTATTCTGTATATTATATTGTAATGATGGCCTTAAGATCATCTAGAGTTTGGTTAAAAACTGTGAATTAGTGCTTGTTGTGGATTATTGGGTTCAGTGTGTTATGTAGCCCCCCCCCCCCCCCCCCCCCCTACGTAGTTATGATAATTGGATGGTGTGAATTGCTATAACAATGGTGAATTAGCTCCATGCTGATGTTCTTGGTACTCGGTGTATTACATTGAGATGATGGTTATTGGATTGTGTAGTGTTGGGTTAACACTTGTGAATTGGTTTTTGTTGATTATAAGATTCAGTGTGTTGTGTACGTGGTTAATTCCCTTTTGTTGCTATACAATGGTGAATTAGTGCTTGTTGTTGATTATAGGATTATGTGTGTTACGTTCGTGGTAATGGCAATTGAAAGGTGTGAATACCTATAACAATGATGAATTAGCCTTCTGTTTTATTATTGTTACTCAGTATATTACATTGAGATAATGGTCGTTGGATCGTGTGGTATGGAGTAAAAAATAATTAATTAATGCTTTGTTGATGCTCATAGGATGCAGTGTGTTATGCACGTGGTTATGTCCCTTAGGTTGATATACAATGGTGAACTAGTGTTGTGTGGAAGACTGTGTTGTGTATGGTGTTAGCCTTTGTGTTTTTTGTATAACGCATACATGTTTTTGGTGTTTGTGTTATTGATTATACAACAAAAGCCTGTAGTCAATTCATATTTACAGTTTATTGTCTGCTATAATGTTATCAAATAAATGGGCTGTGATTGTTCTTGTAAATAATATCTTCTATATCCTAAAGATCCTTAGCGCATAGTTTTTATATCTTGACCTCGGCTTACAAAGAGATTATGTGGTCCACTTTGCACTAACGGAGTCGGTACCCATTAGAATGTCAGAGACGTCCTACAGTCACGAGTCCAGACCGAGATCCGAACTCGAATCCTTGAGGATCACAGTCGAGTTCACAACCACCAGACCACAAAGACAATATCTACATCGTGCGTTGCATATTTAATATTTATGTCTTTGTGTTGGGTGTGGGTGTTCGCGAATACAACACATATTTTCATGAATGTGTAAACTAATTTAATATTTTATTTAAACTGATATCGTTGCAGATTTTATTTGTGTCTGAACAATTTTAGAATTGTCTCTCTTTAATTAAGTTTTTCTATAACAAAGTCTTATTTTAATGTAAATCTTCACTTCGAAACAGAATCGAGGTTGATTTATTTACAACTCGTTTTCTTTAAAGCTACTGGAATCAAGGTTCAAGAAACATGCATGTTGCCACCCCACATATTGAAAGACGAAGGTGAGTAAGATAAGGAAGTGGAGGGTGGACGTGCTCACGGGGGGGGGGGGGGGGAAGGGAGAAAAATAATCTCGAGAGGAGATTAGAGTTTGTGTGCTGAGATGTGTATCGTTTTATGTGCTCACGTTCGGCGGTGGAAGGTCAAAGGTGATAAACAGCGTGGGATAAATTTAGAACAGGTAGACGTGTGTGTTTCTGTGTGGTTGTGTGGTGTGGAAGTGTAGATTTTTATGTATGTGAAAATGTATGAGACTAGGCTAGTAGATGAAGTGTGGTGTGTGAGGGAATAATGGGTACATACTATGTAAACATGTGTGTGGGGCAGTTGTAGGTGCATGTGTGTAAAAAGGTGTGTGGGATAATTCTAGGTGTAATTGTTTAAAGATTTGTGTTTGACAGTTGTAGTTGCAAGTGTGTAAAGATTTGTGTGGGGGACATTTGTAGGTTCAGGTGTATGGGAAAGTGTGGGGCAGTTGTAGGTGCAGGTGTGTAAAGGGTGTGGGGATAGTTGTAGGTGCAAGGTGTGTACAAGGTGTGTGGGACAGTTGTAGGTGCATGTGTGTAAAAGGTGTGTGGGATAGTTGTAGGTGTAGGTGTGTACAAGGTGTATGGGACAGTTGTAGGTACAATTGTTTAAAGATTTGTGAAGGACAGGTGAAGGTGCAGGTGTGTGTGAAAATGTGTGTGTGAAAATGTGTGTGATGGCAGTTTGTGTAAGTACAGGTGTGTAAAGAATTATGTGGGTCAAAGGTTAACAACTGGTGTAAAATGTGTTAAAGTGATTGCTAAACTGCATCTACAGCCATGTAGTAAGCGGATGCGTAGAATAAATAAGTATATGTGTGTATGTAGTATAGGGATGTGTGAGGTTGTTGTCAATGCACGTGTGAGTGCTTCTGTAAAGTGTGTGGGTGCATTTGTGTGAGAGATCGTATGGATGCTTGTTTTCATGCGTGTCTGTAATGTATGGCTATGTTTGTGCGTATCTGTTAGTAGTAGTGTACCTGTGAACGTGACTGTGTATGTGGGTGCGTGTGTGTGTGTGTATGTGTGTGTGTGCGTGACTGCTTTTCCTCCCTCCAAAATACCGTTATCTTCAAATTGATTTAAATAATAATATTAAAAAGCCATTGTTTCCCGAGGGTTTACTTGCCACATCCTGACTTGCCAAATCCTGACTTTCCAAATCCTGACTTTCCAAATCCTGACTTACCAAATCCTGACTTGCCAAATCCTGACTTGCCAAATCCTGACTTGCCAAATCCTTACTTGCCAAATCCTGACTTGCCAAATCCCGACTTGCCACATCCTTACTTGCCAAATCCTGATTTGCCAAATCCTGATTTGCCAAATCCTGACTTTCCGAATCCTGACTTGCTAAATCCTGACTTGCCAAATCCTGACTTACTAAATCCTGACTTGCCAAATCCTGACTTTCCGAACCCTGACTTTCCAAACCCTGACTTGCCAAATCATGACTTTCCAAACCCTGACTTTCCAAATCCTGACTTGCCAAACCCTGACTTGCTAAATCCTGACTTGCCAAATCCTGACTTGCCAAATCCTGACTTGCCAGATCCTGACTTGTCAAATCCTGTCTTTCCGAATCCTGACTTGCCAAACCATGACTTGCTAAATCCTGACTTGAAAAATCCTGACTTACTAAATCCTGACTTGCCAAATCCTGACTTTCCGAACCCTGACTTTCCAAACCCTGACTTTCCAAATCCTGACTTGCCAAATCCTTACTTGCCAAATCCTGACTTGCCAAATACTGACTTGCCAAACACTGATTTGACAAGACAGACTCGCTACAGCCGGACCTTTGAAAAGCCAAACATTACTGAAAACAGAACGCTCATAACAATAGTCCTTAATCTCGGCAGGCAAAGACAAGTCAATATTACGCCATGCTAATGACAGAGGCGTAGCTAGGGGAGGGCGGGGAGGGCGGCCGCCCCGGGCGCCGACCCTAGGGGGGCGCCAAAAGGGGTAGAAAAAAAATTAAAAGCTCATTTTAAGCTGCAGTTTTGAATTATAAACATTCAAAGTAAAGAAATTTAACGGCTGAGAGACTTTGCATACTGATTTAACTGTTTTCTTCCTTGATTGTGTAACTGTAAAACGTATATCTTTAAGAAACATTGACCGGAAAAACCGCTTTCCAGCTTTCCTAGATGGGGAGGGGGGGGGGGCCGCTTTTTCGAAGACTAAAATCGGAAAAATTCACAACGGATTAAGGAATAAATAACCGATATCACTAAGAAAAGAAACCCATTGAACTAAAGCGTATTTTACGATTGTGTAACATAAAAAAGAGTTAGTGACGTTTAAAATCCGCTCTACCATTTTTGTCCAAGATGGTGGGGCGCTTTTTCACTAACAAAAACCGCAGGATATGTACTGGATCGGTTGCTAGATAACTCTTTTAACACTTAGAAAAGAAATCAATTGTATTAACACTTAATGTACGATTTCACTACCCAGTTTGCTAAGTAATAACGCGACTAGTTCTTTGTACGATTCTTACGATTCTCTCAACTTGATCGTAAGAGATCAAATACTTTTTCTTGATTGCATTACATCTTGCCTGGATCACTGCATTAAAGAGAAATAAATATAACAGATTCTTGTATCGCTATCCGATCAGTAAAATAGCAGACTGTCGGAGCGGGTGGATGGAAAGCGACACTCTTTGCCAAAATTTTAAGAGAGAAGAAAATTAGTATATTGTACTGATTATTACTTTGTTCAACCTAACTGACAATTCAAAATTGCAATATTGGCCTACTATTATCGAAATTGTTCTAAAGACACGACCAAAAGTAGACCAAATACGGCTTGCACCTTCTACAAAATACACTCTAAAGCAGTGGTTCTTAACTTTTTGGAGTACCGAACCCCACCAGTTTCATATGCGCAATCACTGAACCCTCCTTAATAGTTGTATCGTACACAATGACAAAATCCGATCGTGAATCCTATGAGTCGGGTGTGTGTCTTGACCTCCGCGGAAGCCCTGAGACTGAATTACCGAACCTCTTGGGTTCGATGGAGCCCACTGTTCTAAGCTCTTTTGATTTTCTACTTTTTATTCGTTTCGGCATCTTAAGGGGAATTTAATTGGCGTCCAGTGAAGTTTTAGGGAACGACAATCAGCGTAATTGTTGATTTTTTCCAGACTGTCGCACACACAAAAACACACTCATATAGATATATATATATATATATATATATATATATATATATATATATATATATATATATATATATATATATATATATATATATATATATATATATATATATATATATATGGGGGGCGCCAAACTGAAAGTTCGCCCCGGGCGCCGGGAAGGGTCGCTACGCCTCTGGCTAATGACTGGGTGTATTTGTTTTATACAAGAGATTTGTGGTGTCATTTATCACAACTGGGAGTGAACTACTATGAAAAATGTTTTGACAGGTGGTTTTCCGCATACATTTGATTTTGTTACGTCGTGTGATGCGGTGTGTGATGTGTGTAACTGATGTTGTTTTTTTTTAATACAGTGCATGATCAGTGACCATGATGTTGTATTATACGTGGTATATGATGTGTGATTGTGATGTTTTATGTTACTTGTTCTATGATAGTGATTGAGATGTTTTATTTTACCCGTTCTATGATTGTGATTGGGGTGTTTTATTTTACCTACTCTATGATAGTGATTAAGATGTTTTATTTTACCCGTTCTATGATTGTGATTGGGATGTTTTATTTTACCCGTTCTATGATTGTGATTGGGGTGTTTTATTTTACCTACTCTATGATAGTGATGGAGATGTTTTATTTTACCCGTTCTATGATAGTGATTGAGATGTTTTATTTTACCCGTTCTATGATTGTGATTGGGATGTTTTATTGTATACGGTGTATGATAAGTGAATGTGAGAGAGAAGTATTCTGGAGCTATAGGAAAGGGACGGCGTGGTCTAGCGGTAAAGATTACGACTGCCAAACCGAAAGTTTCGAGTTCGGATCCCGCTCTGTAGGACTTCCCTGCAGTCCGCCCTGGGAACTGTGTTATATGTCAAGGTCATTGAAACAGATCCACTCTAAGTCATCTTGGGTACAAACGGGGAAAAAGATAAGATAGGTAATAGAATATGTAAATTATAAAGACAATCTGGAGAAGGAGGGAGGATTAGAAACATCAAAAGGAAACGCAAATCACTTTTACAGAATGACAAAGAAGCGTTCAGGCTAATTTTAGCAACAAAATAAGCTAATAGAAGACAAAGAAAGAAATTGGTTTTGGGGTCTACAACAAATTCCTCAATGAAAATTGACTCAGTTCCGATTGCAAGAATGCCGTTTTCACAATCGACGCCGGTAGCAACTAACGCCCGAATGCACACTTACCGGAATGCGACAAATGCCTGAATAGACGCTTGCCCGAATGCGACAAATGCCTGAATGGACGCTTGCACGAATGCGACAAATGCCCGAATGGACGCTTGCCCGAATGCGACAAACGCCCGAAAGGATACCAAGGCGACATTCGGCAAAGTGCCTTTTGAAAAAACGTCCTGCTCCCAAACTTATTAACATTGAGCTACATGTAGAAAGGTGCATAGAATACCTCAAGGTTCTTCTAAATAGATCTAGTCCAAATGGTTCCATACATTCAACTAAAACAGACGGAATATTGAAATAATAAGGGCAGAAATCAAAACAGATGGAACATTGAACGAAGGGAAGCAACAAAATAAATATATTACAGTCAGATGCACTTAGTTAAATACCTTTACGAAATTCGAAAAAATTACATGATTAATACAAGAAAAAAATATCTATTATTTAAATTGACTTAAATTATTTTAAATTAAAGATAAAACAAGCGTAATCATTTAGTTTTTATTTTATTTCAGTGTTATTCTAAATAACAAAAAGAAGTACAAACGCACAAGCAAACTAGAATCATGTCAGATCAATAATTGACAAATTTTTATATTAATTTTAACAGAAATGTTTATTTGTATTCGTATTATATTGGTGAATATTCAAAATATGAAATATTTAACGAATACATAACGAATTTAAAAAACTTTAAGTTATTTTTAAAACCTTACATTATTCTAGTTGTTAATATATTTTGAATCGTTAACAGATGTTCTACAAGCGTAGACTACTCGACAAAAGGTGCAGTCAGGATTGTATTCAAGGCTTACTTCCCTTTACAACCCTTTAAAATAAACCAAATGTTAAATTGTTTCTAGGTTAAATAGGCATCGTACTTTGTCATATGTAATTTATCGGCAGAACCGTTTTGACAAACGTGTTGATGGGAAATAATGAAGAAAGATTTTTTTTTTCGAGGTATAGGGCCGAGTAATTTAAAAAAAACAACAACCAAAGATTTGCATATTTCAGTTTTATACCATGAAGAAACATTAAACAAAATACTATTTAACAATTACTAATGTATAATAATCGTTCAAACCTTTGTTTTTTAAACATTATTATTTAAAGCACACACACACAGATGTACATGCACAAACACACACACACACACACGCACATGCGCAGATCCATTTCGCGTTAAATCTTTTATCCTCTTATTTCAAATCACACAGACACACACATGCACACCAGTGGCGGAACTAGAAAAAAAAGGCCCCCCGCAGAATTTTTTTTTGGGCCCCTATATATATATATATATATATATATATATATATATATATATATATATATATATATATATATATATATATATATATATTAATACTAATAGTTTCGCTGTCTGTCTATCTGACAAGAACGCTCTGTCTGACAAGAACGCTTTGTCTGACAAGAACGCTCTAGAGAAAACACAAGCAAAATAAAAACATGCACAGTAATTCGAAAAACGAAATATGACGTCGACACATTTAGCGTAGAGTAGAACATAATCTCAAACCAGAGAGTGCACACAGTAAAATGACGCCATTGATTATCGCGTAAACATTGAAAAAAAGGAAATGTTGTCTAATCTAAATGGTTTGCGTGAAGAGTTTCTTGCATACAATTCTTCGGGTAGGGGCGAAGCCCCACCCCCCGCGTAAGAACGTCTGAGCCCCCCCCCCCTCCACAACTCAAAAGAAATTTCCTCATCGATACTCTATAATAAAATTACCGCCTAATTAATGTGTCTAATCTAAAAAGTGGTTTTCTTGCAATGGGACGGTAGACATGTTTTTTTTGGGGGGGGGGGGGGGGGGGGTGGAGGGGTGGGTGTGGGGGGGTGGGTGGGGGGGGGGGGGGGTTGGGGTGGTGTGTGGGGGTGGGGGGGGTGGTGTGTGGTGTGTGGGTTGGTTTCAGTGTTTCTTTCAGACTTTTTCCTCCCCGGAGAGGGGTGTGGGTACTTGAAATTTTCGGGGGCGGGGGTAGAATTTTCTGGGAGGGGGCGGACACTGGAAAAAGTATATAATTATATTTCGTTGAATGGGACGGTAGACATGTTTTTTTTTGGGGGTGGGGGGTGGTGGAGGGGTGGGGTGGGGTGGTGTGTGTGGGGGGTGGGGGGTGGTGTGTGGGGGGGGGGGGGGTGGGGGGTGGTGTGTGGGGGGGGGTGGGTTGGTTTCAGTGTTTCTTTCAGACTTTTTCCTCCCCGGAGAGGGGTGGGGGTACTTGAAATTTTCGGGGGCGGGGGTAGAATTTTCTGGGAGGGGGCGGACACTGGAAAAAGTATATAATTATATTTCGTTGAATGGGACGGTAGACATGTTTTTTGGGGGGGGGGGGGGTGGGGGGTGGGGGGGCGGTGTGTGGAGGGGGTGGTGTGTGGGGGTGAGGGGTGGGGGTGGTGTGTGGTGGGGGTGGGGGTGGTGTGTGGGGTTGAGGGGTTTTGGTTGGGGGTGGGGGGTGGTGGGGGGTGGGGGTGGTGTGTGGGGGT